CCCTCCCTGCTAACACTCCTCACGTGCCCAGCAGCACGGCCAACGTGGCGCTCTGCCGTCAAGTCTCTAGCTGATGCACGCAAAGAGGTGAGATCTTGTTAACTGGGGCACACCTGTCTCTCATGCACAGACAAAACAAAAGCCACCGACACAACCTCCCCCCAGCTTTTTACACGCATCCGCTACAGCCTGCACGTTTCCGATGAAGAAACCTACTCAGGGCTGTTGGCGTGTGAGGGACGCCTGCCGGAGGCTGCTGAACTGAGAAGCCTGGATTTCTTTCTGCTTCTCTGCAGCGCCAGGCGGACACACGTGAGGGCTAATCTGTGGCAGTCACTCTGTGCAGGAGGCTGCCCAGATGCAGGTATAGGTCAAAGCACGGGGTGTCAAGAGTCACAAAGAACGAGTCACAGTCCCAGCCTGCTAACTCCCTATCTGTGTGCCCCTGGGGGCTGAGATGGGGGGTGATCATGTGTCAAACAGGGGTGAAAATTCCTGCTCTGCCTACTCCACACAGTCGGATGAGACAGCACGTAGGAAGCCCACTGGAAATGGTGAAGTCTCACAAACGTACACCGTCCAAAGAAGTTAGAACTGAGGTTCAGGTCAGTAAGCCCATCATACGTTAAAGGCGTAACTACCAAACTCTCCGTGAAACTGAGCCAAGCTTGCATCATTTTTTGAAAAGAGGGTCTCACTCTGTTGCTCAGGCTGGAGTGCAGTGGCAGGATCACAGCTCACTGCAGCCTCCAACACCTGGGCTCAAATGATCCCCCTGCCTTAGCCTCTTGAGTAGCTGGGATTACAAGCATGTCACCATGACCAGCTATTTTTAAATTTTTTGTTTTTGTTTTTTTTTAGAGATCAGGTCTCACTATGTTGCCTAGGCTGGTCTTTAACTTCTGGCTTCAAGTGATCCTTCAGCCTTGGCCTCCCAAACTACATAGGCACGAGCCACTGCGTCCAGCCTGAACTTGTATCACTGAATCAACCATTCAACCAGGGTCACCATCTGACTCTGCTGTTAGTTATCCCCAATCTAACGACTGTCACTAGGTGACGAGGATTCAGTTGGTCCCGTTCACGAGCATCGACTGCCTCGGCAGCCACTTCTTCACTGTGTTGTTCGTTCCTTGAATCACGGACCTATTTCATTTAACGTCATGAATGGGATTTGCAAACTAAATACTCACTTCACAATAAAAACAGTGGCACTACACACACACACACACACACACACACACACACACACACACACAACTTCCGAGGGCTCAGACAAGGCTGACTGTGTAGGAAAGAGCTTGCTAGTTGGAAACATTTAAAAAATATTTTGTACCATCTTACGGATTTTATGAGTATTCAAGGTCTGCTAATTTCAACATCACAAAAAGCTACAAAAAGGACTAACGTGGAAGAAAAAATAGATAAGGCGGACTTCATTTAAGATCTAAAAACCCTTTTACTCATTAAAGACACACAGTGGACCCTTGAATGCCACAGGTTTGAACTGTGTGGGTCCACTTACACTCAAATTTTTTCCAACCAAATGCAGGTTGGAAATACAGTATCCGCAGGATATAAAACCTGTGTGTACAGAGAGCTGATTTTCTGTACACACGGGTTCTACGGAGCTGACTGCAGGATTTGAGTATGTGCAGATTTCGGTATGCCAGGGACAGGTGAGGGTTGCAGTCCTAGAACCAACACCCCATGTTCGCTGAGGGACAACTGTAGGTAGAAAATGAAAAGGCAAGTCACAGACTGGGAAAAATATTTGCATTGTATATCTGACAAAGTACTGATAAACAAACTATATAAAGAACTCCTACAAATCAATAAGGGAACGATAAACATCACAGTTAAAAATGGACAAAAGACTGAAAGAAGCTATATATATAGCAAATAAGCATATAAAAAGTGTTCAATAACAATAATCATCAGAAAAATGCAAATTATACCCACAGTAAGATGCCACTTCAAACCCATTAGGATGGCTGAGATTAAAGAGGCTGATGTTACTAAACGTCAATGAGAAAAAAGAGCAACTGGAACTCTCATACGCTGCAGGCAGGAGCACAAAATAGGACGGAAGTTTGGAGACCCGTGTGGTGCTTTTTTATAAAATTAAACACACTCTTATCATATGACCCAGCAGTTTTCCACCTAGAGAAATGGAAACGATGTCCACAGAGAGACGTACAAAAACCTTCCTTGCACCTTTGCTCGTATTAGCAATCCACGCGCCCACCGCCAGGAGAACGGGCAAACTGTGGTATAAAGGTGTAACAGGAAGCGTTCTCAGCAACGCAAATTCACAGACTACTGATGCCCGTAGTAACACAGCTGACAGCACAGGCGTGAGGTTGGGTGAAGGAAGTCAGGCCCAGGAGAACAAGCTGTGGGGTTCCGTCTATGTGAAATCCAACAACAGGCAAAACTGATCTATGGTGACAACAACCAGAACCATGCTCGCCTCTGGTGGGGCTGAAGGGGTGGCTGGAAAGCAGCCTGAGAGAACTTCCTGCAGTGAGGAAAATGTTTTATGTATCTCAACTGCATTGGAGATGCAGGTGTATACATTTGTCAAAGTGCATTATTCTTGTAATCTGTGCATTCTACAGTGAATCATACATCTATGAAAGAAGTTAATAAAAAAGATGGTGTTAAGCCACGATCTTAGAAAGCCCAGGGCGAACAGGAACCGCTCTGAAGCCCTCCCCACCCTCACATCTCTTTGTGCTGTTCTCTGGGGGCACCCGCCTCCCCCCAGGTCACCGGGAAGCCTTCCCCCTCTGACTCACGGCCTCTGAGTGACAGTAGAGTTATTATGTTCATTTTCTCACCATCTGTGCTAGGGAGAAGGACAGCTCCCCCCAAAGATGCCCACGTCCTAATCCCCTGAACCTGTGGATCTGTCGCCTTGATGCAGAAGGGGATCAAGGATGCCAGTCGGTTGACCTGTCCTGGATTAGCCAGGTGGGGCTGTCTGACCGCACAAGTGGAAGAAGAGGAGGAAGGAGGGGACAGGCAGAGGGACACGACAGAAGGACGCTACCCACAACCGCTCGCTTGGGAGACGGAGGAAGGGGCCACATACCAAGGACTGTTACAGTCCTGGGAAGCTGGAAAACACAGAAAAATGGATTCTCCCTTAGAGATTCCAGAAGGGAACACAGCCCTGCGGACATCCAACGTCAGCCGCGGTGACAGCCACTCCTGCATCCGCCCAGGTAGAGAATCTGCTTGATCAAGGATGCTGCCCTATAGAGCAGAGCGTGGGCAGGAGCAAGAACACCCTTCTAGGTGACGACTTCTTCCCACAACAAACACGAGCCACCACCCCTCTGGAAGCTCCTTCGACAGGATGTGCCTCAGCCTGGCAGGCTCTACCTCGTCCACCTGTCCTGTGCAGGCACAGAGCCAACGGGGCTGTGGGCCAGTGCTGGCAGGTGGGCAGGAAGAGCCCACGGCAGAGAGGAGGTGGCAGGCTGCTCCAAGTGGCCCTGCCTTTTCCTGCCCACTCTCCAGGGAGCTGCTCTTCTCCGGAGGATGGAGACAGCAGGAAGACCCAAAGGCTGCCAGATCCAGGCGTGGCAGGGCCAGTAACGCCCGGTGCTGGCACGCCTGAGCCTTTCCCATGAAAGAGTGGAGGGAGGGGAGATCTAGGGCGGCTCTGAAACAGTGCTGGGGCTGGGGGAGATGCAGGCCCAGCTCAGGAAGAGGAGGGCCGGCTTTCCCTCCGGGTCAGAAGGGCCACAGGACAGTGCATCAGGCAACCAGGGAAGGAGAGCTGAGCTCACAGGCTTTGCCCTTCACAGAGAAGAGGGCTGGGCAGGTTGGGCCGCTTGCAGGAGAGGGTGGGTGGGCACTGGCAGGGCCAGGAGGTCCAGCCTGCACTGGGGGATCAGTGTTCTCATCACCACATCCAGAAAAACATGCTCCCGCTCCCTGCTGACCACCAGCCCACCCAGGCAGAGCAGCTCCCAGCTTCCGTTTCGAGGTTGAGTTTGGGCCACGTCCTACCTCCGTGCCCCTACAGTACCGTCTGCAGTCCAAGCCTGGGCAGGGATTCAACGGCAGGCGAGGAGCTGCCTGAGTTGACCCCCCAATTCAAGTCAAGAGCTCAGACAGAAAACCTGTCGAGCCCCCGACAAAGACCACAAAGCCAGCCTGGCCCACGGAGACCCAGAGGATGGGGAGACGGTGCCAGGCTTTGTAGAGCAGATGATCGGGGGCAGCGGACTACCTGGTGAGCACCTAGACTGAGAACCTCAAAAACAGGGCAAAAGACACATCTGAGCAGAGCTCAGAGGCCACAGGGTCTGCCCAAGGACACACGGCAAGGTCAGCGACCACAGAGTGTATGCGGCTGCTTCTGACACGTGCACGGCAAGGCTGGGATGCTACAAAAAGCCAGAAACCGTTCACACACACGTGTACCGATTTCTTCTCATAAGACACGGCTTCGCTTCTCCCCAACTCTCACATGTATATTTTTTTCCTCGGTACCATTTTACATAAGTGGTCTCCTCTTAACATTTTAATCAATGCAATCTTTTGGCAATCAATTTAAAAGTGATTTTCAGCAAGTGCTATATCTGGAAGTTCTCAGAGAGATGCTGGGACGACTTCCCACCGCGAACGCCGAACTCTTTCGAGCAGTTTTTATGGAGGCGTTCAAGGTGTGGCTCTCGGGGAGGCATGGGAGATTCTCGCCTGCAAATGGGAAGCTGCCTGTTTTATGACATTGGTACAAGAGATCGAAAAAGAAATTTAATCAACCCCCCAAAGTCTTTCCCTGACGGCTGGAACATACGGTCCAAGTTTTCCGGGACGTGCGCAGAGCAGCCTTTTCACTAAAAGCTTCCACACCATCCTGTAATGCGTTTCTGGTTTGGACGACGCCCAGGGGAATGGAATCAACCAACCTGTTTCCAAAGATCTAGAGCAGCCCTGGATTTGCGACTCAGCCCTCCTCCACGACGCGGCGCCCGCCTTACCTGCCTGGCTGTCCCGGGGCCTGCACTGGACTTCCTCCACGCACTCGGCCGGGAACCACCCGGTGTGGCCGCGGGCGCTGCCTTCCCAGAAGCCGCCTTCGCCGATGCTCAGCACTGGAGGCAACAGAAAGGGAGAGGAGTTAGCGGGGCAGGGGGACCTGGGGGGTGAATGGCGCAAGGGTGGCCGGGCGGAGGTAGAGTGCCAGCGTCTCCTCGGCCAAGCCTTGCCCACTGACCACACCTCCTTCAGCCAAGGAGGAGGGGCCCCGGCAAAGTGTCCCCTTGGCACAGTGCCAAGAGGCGGAGCTGCTCCAGCCCACAGGTGTCCTCGCCCGTTAGGTGACGGGAAGAGAACGGAGCAGCTTTACACCTCCCAACCACATGCGGGAGCATCAAAGCGCGTGGCTACCTTGTGGTATCTCTCGGTGTCCCACGTGAGAGGGGACAGGGGTGACTGGATGTCCTCTCCACCTGTGATTTCGGATGTAAATGTGGGGGCCACCTCAAAGGGGAGAGGAGACGACGAGGTTGTGCCTGTCCTGCTAGCCTGGGGAGGGCCGGAGGCAGAAGGGCTGGAGGGAAAAGCCACCTGTCCCGCTCCTTCTGGATCTTTGAACCCAGCTTGAAGAACGAGATCCCAGCAAAAGGCGGAAAAGCAGTGCGAGAACTAATGACTGCGTGATACTGTCTAGACTCAAAACAGAAATGGCTGGATTGACAGACTCGTTTGGAAGTCCTGGCCCACCGGCGTACTGGCTTAATAGTTATGTGGTCACGGGCAAGGACAGGGGATTTCTTTCCAATATGCTTAGACAGCAGGGATGGCTGTGTCCCAGCAGCCTATCCTGGGGGACCCCTGTGCACAGCTGGGCAGGTGCGGCCACTCCAGCCTGCAGGGTGGGGGGCTGCTGAGACCAGGAGAACCATCCCCCAGCCTGGCGCCGGGGCACTGAAGCAACGTCAGCTGGAAGCGCAAAGGGTATCTGTTTTCATGCTCGACTGCTGAGCAAGAGTGGGAAACCCAAGCCTAGAGACACCGGGGGTGGGGCAATGTCACCAGGACCCTTCGCAATGCCCCGCTCACCCCACCGTGATAAACGCTTTGGCTGTAAGGGCAGAGCTTGCGGTGGCAGCGCAGGGAAGGGGGATCTTTCTATCTTGGGACTGTGGTGCTGGGCTGGGGACACCCCCGGCACCCTCAGCCCCCCGAATGTGGCTGCGAGCTGAGAATCAATATAATCTCTCCAAGCTTCACGTTCTTTAAATTACCCAGGATCTGCAGGCACCACTGCGCAAAGAGGGATCAGGGCACCAGAAGTGTTTTCCTCGAGCCTCGTTTTAACCTCAGAGGCCAGATAAAGAACCGCTCAGCCCACCAGCTTTGAAAGTTAATGGAACTGAAAATCCCGGCTTTATAAGTTCTTGCCTAATAATCTCAAGAAATGACCTCACTGAAGCAGACGAGCAGCATCCCGGGTGACCAGGACAATCATAACCGCCTGAAGCAATTTCCTCCCCAAATCCTGCTGCGCCCTGAGGCTCCACTTGGCCCGGCTGCCCGGAGGACACCGCGAGGTCCCAGCAGAGTCCTGCATCTGAGAGGGTCCTTGGAGCACGGCCCGGGGCCACGATGGGGCATCAGGGACCCGCCCCTGTGTTGTGTGAGCCGATGCTCTCGTAGAGACACCTCCTCCTATTGCCGAGGCCGCGGGCAGGTCATTGTGCTGTTTTACCAGGGCCAGGGAGAAGGGACCGAGTAGTGAGAGATTAGAATCTTCTCCAGCGGAAGCTCTGCCACACCTTATCTAGGACACGTGGGACAACTTCCTAATCGCTCTGTGCCTCGGTTTCCTCATTTGTCAGATGTTAGCTTACAGCGTTGCTATGTGTAGAACAGGCACATTAGCCAGCATGGGACGAGGACTCAATCGCCACCGCTCGCTTCTTCCCACGCCCCCTCCTTGGGAGAACAACGCGCCCTAGCTCCACCTTTAACCTCTACCCAGCACACGGTTCTGGGCGTGTCACTGCTGTTACGAGACCAACGGCAAACGTGAAAGGCTGCTTACAGCAGCATGAGAACGTGAGAGGTTCACACAGCAAAGCAGAGGGGACGCGCTGAAAGGAGTTACCCAGCACAGGGAGCCCTTACCATCGGGCTGGTTTCGGGGACACAGGGGAAGAGAAAACAGGATCTCTGCTGAGACCGGATGCAGGGCTCGGGGTGGGAGGAGGCCAGGGGCTACTCACAGGCGTCTGGCTGCGCAAATGGTAGCTGGTGTCCTCTTTAGAGAGGGGGAGGAAGAAAGTGGCGGGGGCGGGGGGCAGGGGAGAGGATGCGGAGGCAGGACTCTGGGGTCCCCTTCTGAACATCCTGTGCCTCCAGCAGTTGGCATTTCACAGGCTCATCTGCTCCTAAGCAGCCACGTGTGAGTCCTGCACACACGTGTGCTGGGCCCTGGGGCGCGTCTGGGCTCGCACACTTGGGTTCTCGCCTGCGCGCGTTCTCAAGGGCAGGTTTCGAGCGCTTCCCTGATGGGAACACCTGCGTCCAGGTAGGAAGGGGTGTTTCTTACACAGTGAAGACGGAGTTAGGTTTGGCTCCTATTGAAAAGTAAGTGCTTCACACCCGTGCAAGGAGAGGTGGAGGACAACAGGGCGTCCTCTCCATGGAGCGGAACAAGGAAGAGCGCCAGACCGGGAGGCGAGAGACTTGGGTCCACCGCCAGGATGCTGAGGGACCTGGGGCGAGGGTCCCGCTCTCTCTGTGGCCTCACCTTCTCCTTGGGGAGCACAAGAGAGCCAGGCCAGGTGGATTCTGGGATTCCACCTCCTGCCACCCCAACCCCCTCGTGCTTCAGATGGACCAGAGAGGGCTCTGTCCCCAGACGTGCAGGGGAGCCAGGAACACGCAGGACTAGCTCTACCGCCAAGGAGCAGACGGGGATTGTCCCGGCCAAGCCCAGGGGGGCAGAGGCGGCCTGTGAAGCAAGGCGGGGGGTGGGCAATGACTGAAACGGGGCTCAAGAGACTCAGGAAGCTCTGGAGGAAGAGGCAGGCGCTCTGAAGGGCTGGACAGATAATGCGGTGAAAGCACCATGCCCAAAGCATCACCACTCGGGGGAGGGGCATATATAGCATGGTCTGGGGCCCTCAGGAGCCCTGCAGGAAGTGAGGACCATCCCCAACGCCGTGTCCATTCCAACACAGACGATGCCACTCCCTGGCAAAGACATACAAGCTCTCTTGCAAACTAGAAAACAACACTAACCCCCTGCACTGGGTTAGCAGGGACAGAGGCCACCACCCTGCACCCTGATATCCCCCCCCACAATACGAGTAAGACCCAGTGTTGGCCCCGAGGTTGTCCACCCCAGCCCACCCCGCCTGGGCACAGAAACCAGCCAGGCCCCTGAGGAGCCGGGAGGACCTGAGACCCACCCTTTCCCCTGCCCTGCATCAAACTTCCTTGTTTGGAACTCGGCCCTGGGCCATCTTCAATTTTAAGCCACGCAGGGCTTTCTGTGTGTCTGTGGTCTTCAGTTTAAACGTGGCCAGGATTCACGTGGGCCAGGCGCTTGGCGGCAGGCAGGGGCGGATGTCTGCAGGGGCAGCCTGGGGAGCCTCCTGAACGCCTGCTGCTCTGCTTCCTCCTGGGCCGCCCCTCCTCTTGCTCTGTCCCCTCCTGCCACGCTCAGCGACTCCAGGGGCTGCACCACACCCAAATCCCAAGCACTCTGCACATGTGGGTCTCCCCGGGCATCAACTGTGCCAAACCATGGCATGGCAAATGCTCCCCAAACTGAGCACATCCTCTTGGGAATGGAAGATGGTCTCGCCAGCCACCTGCCAGGGGCCCAGAGCCACCGTGCCCGACTGGCCCCCTTCATACGCAGACAACCCACCAGGGAGTTCTCCAGATGTCGACCCTGCTTCCGTGCCCCTTCTGCCCAGGAAATGAGGTAACCCCCCATCCGCCATCAACTCCCGCCAAGGCCGGGCTCTGGACTGAAGAGGTGCCCGGCGAGGGAGCTTTCTGAGGCACACACAGCACCTGGCGTCCATAGCTGTGGGCCTGGGGCTGCGCGCCCCCAGCTCTCCGGGACGTCCTCACACCTCAGGGAATGATCCACCGGCCCCTGCTCTGCTCCCCCTATCTCCCCAGCCAGGCCGGCGGGGCTGGGCATCCTCTGGGCTCTGTCTGTCCCGCCTGTCTTGTGCTCGGTGTCCTGTCCCCCAGCCCTACTCGTTCCAGCACTTTTCCACACTCCATTTAAATGTCACCTGGTTTGAGAAGCTTCTGTTATACCCTTGGGCTGGGTGAGGGGCTCTCCCCGGGACCCCAGCCTCCTGGCATTTGCCGTGTTGAGTCATGGGCTCATTTTTCTTGCCTACTAGTGTGGGGGCTCCTGGCAAGCAGGGACAATTGCAGCTTCCTCAGGCCCCGCACATGGCCTGGGACCACAGGGGTTCACTGCGTGTCTGCTGAATTAACCCCCTACATGGGCACCATTGCTGTGCCACCTGCTGCACCAGAAGGCAGAGGATGTGTGTGTGTGGGGGGGTACTCCCAGGGAAGGAACATGTCAGCCCAGTCCCAAGCGATGGAACACACGGGACAGCTGCTGGTCTGGGCAGAGAAGCGGGATGGAGGCATTGAGGTGAGAAGACGTGGGGCCAAAAAACACACACTCCACAGCTCAGAACGTGCAGCCATCCATTTACACATCCGCCCACCCACCTGTCTCATTCATTCATTGATCCGTTCATGAATCCATCCATCCATCCATCCATCTATCCCTTTCCAAGCACCGTGCCACGTGCTAAGGAAACAAGACTACGACGCAGTCCTGGACTGCAAGGGGTCCACGA